TAGTATGTATGTATACTTTTAATAGTTTTTATTAATATTTCAAAATAGCATTTTTAAATTTTCAGTTTTTGTTTTAATTTTATTTTAATGTTTTAGTCATTGTGCTTTCGTCATTTTTATTATTTTTGATAAAAATAGTACCTTTAGGTTATGTATATATATATATATATGTATATATATATATTAGTATGTATACTTTTAATAGTTTTTATTAATATTTCAAAATAGCATTTTTAAATTTTCAGTTTTTGTTTTAATTTTATTTTAATGTTTTAGTCATTGTGCTTTCGTCATTTTTATTATTTTTGATAAAAATAGATATTACCTTTAGGTTTAATTAATTTTTTTTATCTCAGTTTTAGTTAAGTTTTAGTTTTTATTTATTTTCAGTTAGTAATTTTAATGCTTACTAAATAACTTTCAGATATTTCAGTTTTTCATTTATATTTTATTTTACTTCAGCTTCATTCCAATAAATGAAAATGTTTTTAATAGATTCAGCTGTAGTTATTAATAAAAAATAAAAAAAAAAGTGTGGGGACCATTTTAGCACAGTTATCTGAGAAATAAATCAAATTTTATAACAAAAAATATAATTATTATTAAAGTGAAAAAGAAAACACAACATAAGAATTAAAAGTTAAAGCATGTCTGTTCTGGGAACAATCATGCCATGCATTTCCTCCAGTAAGAAACAGCCAGGAAATGGAGGTCAGATCAGACAAAATCAGTTTTAAAGACAACACTGCACCCTAAATTAGTCTAAAAATGACTGTGCTGCACCATTATGGATGTGTTACACTTTTACCCACAGTATTCAACTAGTTAAAGATGCAGTAAGGTCTGTGGTCTATCTGAACTTTCAGACAGTTCTGCACCATTTTCCCCTAACATTCATGTTCCGTCATGTTTTTACTGCTATCTTGTGTGACTTGTGTGAGCAGAAATCGTATAAAAATGTGCTGAAAGGGCATGACACAGGGTTCCCACGCTTCTTGAAAGTACTTGAATTTCAGACATGGATTCAAGGCCTGGAAAGTACTTGAAAACAAACATAGGTCCTTGAAAGTGCTTGAATTAAATTTGAAATAAATTTTGTTTATGCAGGGATTAAAGTTTTCCATCGCTACGACAATTGGAGAAAAAAAATAGGGGAAAAGAAACATGTAGCCCGTTGTTGTTGTTGTTGTTGTTGTGCCGGCACACCAAAAATCATTCCCGGCCACGGCTGCAGCTTCTCAGTGACAACATAACGCCGCTCGCATCATTCACAG